ACCAGCTGTATGTATATCTGTAAAAAAAGTTTTTTTTAAAAAACCCAAAACACACTTCATCCAGAACTGTAACTGCAAGTTGTAATCCTGCTCACCTGACTGCCATCCCCAGGTACATCTGTCTGGGCACTGCTGTATCCTGAATATTGGTCATACCACTGCTGAATAGCCTCCTGCAACAGAAACAATACATGTCATCAGACACTGTACACTTACCACTACAGACAGAGAAAGGCCGTGTAAAGAGAATGAGCTACCTGAGAGTAATCTCCGTATTGCTGGCTGTAGGAGAAATAGTTCTCTAATCCCGACTGTCCTGCGGAGTCCTGACACAATAAGCCATCCACTGCATGAGCCTGGAGCCCCCGAGCTGACATGCCTAAATCATCAATATAAGAAATACACTGCGTTTTATTTATAGACCAAGTGTAGGAAGATAGAAGAACCCTCCACACACCAATGGCATTTGTTATTCTGACGATCTGTCCAATTAAATGGACATATTGAAAGCTATTACCGAGTGCTGGTGATCCTTGTCTTCTACCTCATTTATAGAGCAGGCAATTGAGAAATACCCCCCCACTGGCCATGTCACACTAGTGATCCAGCTCCTGGGGACAACTCACCAGAGCCCTCACCTGCTTCAATGCAGATGAAGTCTCTCGATTGGACAGCGAGGGTACAAGGTGTGGAATCAGGCGAGTATTTGTTCATTGTCTGCCGCCGGCGAGCTACAAGTAACAAGATCGCTAGTGTGACATCGGCCTTAGAAATAAACAAGGTTAAGGGCGTGCGGTCATGAATTTCCCGACATCGGTTGCCTTTGTAATTAGTGTTCTGGTGCACAAGGGGTATATGTGTACTCCGAAGGGACAGCAAAACAAAACACACACCAGCCCCATCGGTACAAAGTGCTTTCTCCGAGAACTGAGAGAAATGTCCGTCAGTAATGACACTAAAGGGTTCAACAATAAGATCTCATGAAGAACACATTGTACACACAACCGGGGTCTGAATAGCACAGATGGCCCGAGTGCTACAGGGAACAAAGCCCCTTACATGAGACACACTTGTAATTAAAGCCAATTTTATAGAGCTGCACCTGTTCCCTATAACAGCATTTCAATGGCAGCTCAAATGAATGGACGAAAAGGCACACACCTGCCCCTCCAATCAACAGCCAGCTTTCATCGACAGACAATCATTGCGTCAGATCTGCACGCTAAGCAGAGGCGATGGCACAAAGTTCAAAGTCATGAAATGGTTAAAGTAAAATGCTGTTAAGAGATGGGCCGCGTTTTTTTCTGCCCTGTTTGTGTGCGTTTGCACACGTGGTAACGCATCAGAAAACCGTGCAACTTGTCAGCCGCGTTTTGGGTGCCATTATTAAGCTCAGTATACAGCGAGCTACAGCTTGCGGTATACTGAGACGCCGCAGCCGGGACAGATCCCGACAATTTTGTCTGGATCCACCCAGCTGCCCGAGGTGACAGCTGGCTCTGCCTATCCAGAGGCAGAGCCAGCTGTACCCGCCCCCATCTAGTCCCTCCCGTCACAGCTCTCTGCAGTGACAGGATCGAAAAGTGAGCGAGCGCCGGTATGTGTTCGCTCACTTCCCGATCTACTGAGCCAACCTGTGACAGTCTCATCGTCACAGGTCGGCTCAGATTATGAGGCTGAGTGAAAATAACTCGCCTCATAATTCTCCTTTAATGGCACCGCAAGCGCTTTTCCGCCATCGCGCAAATCACAGAGCGCTCTTGGAACACGCAGGTGTGAACCAGGCCTTAGGATCTACTGCTGAGGAGGAACTTACCAGGCAACACGCTTGCCAGATTCAAGTAAGGGTTCGTGCTGAGCCGGAAGTCTTTCGGTGGCTCCCCCAAGAGCGATGTCTGGTTACTCGGCTTGTTCTGAAGAAGAAAGAAAGAAAGAAAGAAAGAAAGGCTTCAGAAAAATGTCTAGACAGAGAAGCCGTTAGCAGCACCTTAACCCAATCTATTGCAGGTATGAGCAAACCTATGGCACCCCAACAGCAGAGGAACCACAGCTGTGCCACAGGCTCAACAAGTACAAAAATATGAAATATAAACAAATCCCAGTATACACCATGAGGAGAATTTATCAAACTGATGAGAGAGCCCGAGAGGGGAAAGAGAGAGAGCCCGAGAGGGGAAAGAGAGAGAGCCCGAGAGGGGATAAAGACAAAGCGACAAAATGAGAGAGCAACAAAAAAAAAGAGAAAGTGACAAAGAGCGACAGAACTCCAAAGAGAGCTCGCTTTGACCTCTTTCTCTCTTTGTTGCGTATGCAAAGAGCGTGCAACACTAACAGCAAGCAAAAGACAAAGCCCACATGAGAGCGAGAGAGAGGGAGGGAAGCTGCTTTACTAAAGGATTTGAGAAACATTTACTTCAATATCCCAATAATGTGCAGATTAAATCTATAAACAGGGATTTGCTTTTCCCGGGATTGGATAATTGATGTGAATCTTCACTTCTTTTAAAAAGGAGAACTATGAGGGGGGAGGTGAGTGCTTTTCACTCACCTCATAGTTCTAGCCGACCTGTGACAATGAGACTGTCACAGGTCGGATCAGTAGATCGGGAGGTGAGCGAACGCCGGTATGTGTTCGCTCACCTTCCAATCTACTGATCCGGCTCTCTGCCGTGACAGGGGAGGGGCTGGATTCCCCCCTCCCCGCTCCGATCCTCCAGCGCTGACTGGCGGAACGGACGGGGGAGGGTACAGCTGGCTCTGCCTTTAGATAGGCAGAGCCAGCTGTCACTCACACAGCTTGGCGGATCCAGACATAATTGTCGGGATCCGCTTCAGCTGCGGCGTCTCAGTATACCGCGAGCTGAAGCTCCCGGGATACTGAGCTTTGGGTGACGGGAGGACGCTGGTTTGACGCTTTGTTACCCCAAGGAGAACTATGGGGAAAAGCCCTAACCCCACAGTTCCCCTTCAAATGGAGATTCTCAACACCTTGAGGAAAATCAGCTTCAAAGACAGAGCGTGAGAGGAAGAGAGAGAATGAATACGTAAGTGTGTGTGTTGAGCAGTTACATTATGGAGGGAACTTTTTTTCCATAAACAATCATATAACCGCACACTTTAATTCCGATTCATATCCTGAAGGCAGTGTGATGCTGCAGAGAGTGAAAGGCTCCATTCTTCTACATCAGGCCCACTTTCCCAGAAACAGATTTTAGAAGGCGCAGCCAAAGAAGCCCGCAGGTAGATACAACACAGTTCTCACCGTGTGCAATGTGTCTGTGGTGCCGGCCTGTGATTGCCCGCTCAGCAGGGACCCGTCCGTCAGTGCCAGGGCAGACTGCTGGTCTTGGGCAAGCTGGGAGAGTGAAGCACTCAACTGCTGATTATGCAGGTATGGCATCAAGTCTGCAGGAAACAACAAAATACAAAACACAACTGAAAGTCCAATCTAAGCAACTTACTTCTCTGTATACTAGAACATGTAATACACACCTGAAATGACAAATGACCAGAGGTTGGGGGTGTCCCTGACTATAGTGTGGCAGGGGTGTCTGGATCACAAGAGCAGCTGAACATAATTCCAAATCCTTTTTTGGGGTAAAAGTTCACCTATTTGTATTTTTATTGGTCTTATAGATTTAAATCAAAACTTATTTATCCACAACAGGCGAGTGACAGAGACCCGACTCACTAGTTCCTTTACATTTGCACTGTGTTTGATTTGATGGGTTTGTTGACTTCGTCTTCCTAAATTTTCATAGTAAATCCAAGTTAAATATTCTCGTATAACTTACAGCAATGGTCATCAACTTACTAAGTATAGGGGTCCTCAACTGTGGCCCCTGACACAACCGGAGGACCACGAATAATGATCAGTATACACTGAGCGGCCAGATTATTATGACCATTATATATATATATATATATAATGCTAAAGAGGACTGTCAGAGACTGCAGACATTCTAGAGAAAATGGTGCTCAGAGACTGTGAGATGATACAGATTGGAGATTTGGAGAGACGGGGGGCATGTTACATGACGCTAGGGCAACTCACTGCCATTACCCTTTTACAAATCAATGCACTTACTCCCAGTACAGACTGCTGGGGTCCATGGGTCACAACACAAGTACCAAAGGGCCACGCAGCAGGTTGTGCACCAAGGCTTATAGCAGTGGTTCTCAACCTGTATAACCACTTGGCCATTAAGCCGCGACCCAAGTCGCACCACACTGGAACGCACGGCATTGCATTCCCTCATGTTCCGATGCAAACGATCAAACTGTGTTTGGGGTGCCATTCAAATGAATGGCAATACAACGCACCTCCCGCACCAGAACGAACAGTAGGTACCATTGAGCAGTAGTTTGCGATTAAAACACTGACATTCTCACATACACACTCCCAAAACAATGTAGGGGTCCATTGTGGGCTGCTGTGCTGTGACGGAGCTTCATCCATATGTGCATTGCTGGTACAGCTCCCATGCACTCCCTGTAGAGGTGCCGGGAGCCAGAATGTGACATCACTCCGGTCACGCGAGGGAGCTTTAAGCAAAGCATGTATAGATGGAGCTCTTTCGCAACCATACCCCCACCCCACCTCAAGCTGGCGCACAGCACCTGGCAGCATATTTTTAACGGCTGCGCGGCACGAGAACTGACAGTGCTGCGCTATAGTGGGGAGGCTGAGGAGACTCTCACCTAGTGCAGTGGAAGGCATGCGGCGACCCATTAAACATGGGGCCGCGACCCAGCAGTTGAGAACCACGGGGTTAAAGCATATTCTTCATGCAAGAACATTAGGTCGGATAGCTTCTCATAATTGCAAAACACATCACCGAATATGAAGCAAATCACCAGGAAAATATGGGCAAATGGAAAATAAACACGTATACGGTGATGAGAATGGCTCAAAGGAGTTTGGTGAGCTGCTGGGCTGGATTTTGAAGGAATATTTGCTTAAACGTGTCTTTTAATACACAGCTGGCACGTAACATTGTCAATCTATGCGACTTGTCAATACTTCACATGACTCAAGAGGACTTCTATCCAAAACCCAGGCAGCTCAGTCTGTTAGGAGAATGATTTCTCAGGCAGTCAGGATGTAGCGCAATGAATAATAAATGGGTAAGGAGAAAAAAACAAAGCCTGATGTAATAAACAAATGTGTCAGGAGTCGTAACAAAGGGATAAAACAAATCCAGACGGCATAGCTTGATATATTTCTAAATCTATGACCGGCGTTGTTATATGTACTGTAATATTGCATGAAAGAGAATTGTTTTACGGAATTGCTTCTCATGGACTCAGACTGGCATAATGCTCTGTAACCTGAACTGCTCATGATCCGAGACCCCTGTAGTTGTGCTATGACCGGAAGTACATCTACTTTATACTGCTTTGTACAACGGCTTAACAAAAAAATGTAAATGCATATCAGAAATATAGTTCTAAAAATATCGACAAGTCGAAGGATTTGAGCGACTTTGACAAGGACAATTGTGATGTGCAGTAAACTGGAGACTTCTCAGTAGGTGGGGGGTTTGGCCACCGGCAGGGGCCGCCCCTAGGCTGTAATTGGTCTTTAGTTTTTTTGTGCCTAGCGTCCTTCTCCTGCAGGTGGCGATATTACCCTACAGTACATGATCTCCGATCTGTTCCCTGTGTCCTTCAATGAACGGGAGAGAAATAGCTCTTTACCACCGAACTGCTAGAGAGTTCCTATAAAATGTGTTGTCCAATCAGATAGTACTATACTATGAATCATGATTAACCTAATCATGTTATCAGGGGCGTAACTAGAAATCACAGGGCCCCATAGAAAAGAACTGCAGAAACACATTAAACAAAATACTTACACTTATATATTTAACAGACCAAAGAAGAGCAAGAGAATTTGGATTTACATACACATGTAATGTATACCTGTATGTAAACTACAAGCTAATTGGGTCTTATCCAAAACACAGACTTTCCAGGCTACTCGAGGCATAGAAGTAAATCAGCGATCATAGCAGCTAATGTAGAGCTCACCAGCTGCAGGCAGCAAATCTATTCATATGCAATATATCATACGAACAAGAATGTTGGTACTTATTTCACTGCTGAACATAAATAAAATACTTGCAAGAAAATTTTGCATTTCCTATAGAATGGTGTTTCCTATCTGACAATTTAGCTGTATGTAGCATCGCTCTAAAGCAGCCGCAGCTAAAGCCAAGCGATGATGAAGTTGTCATGTTTTACCAATTAAAAGTGACACTCTGCCTCTGAGGCTGGCACCTTTCGTTTCAGCATTCAGATGATATTTCGGAACAGGGACTGGCAGCTCTTCCAGAGTACAGTCTCTGAATTGTGCGTAAGGGCCTCAGTTATGCCGGCTCTTGCCAGACTCAGTGAAAGGGCTCCAATCCAGGCAATGCTCCTAATGCAAACAGAGACCTCTACAATAACAATTCCTGGACTGCAAGGGAATTATTTCACACCATAGGGCCCCCGTTCACACTTACTAATGGTGCCGATCGCATGAGTCTCGCAAATTCCTCCGTGCGTCTCATGCCGTCTGCTGTGGGTGGGAGGCGCTCTATAATACAATGACAGTTGCCACCGCCTGCACGTGTTCACAAGTAACCGCACAGGCTACGATTGCCTGCAAATGGTATGTGTCCAGGTGCAGTTGTCTGCAGGTAAATCGCAGCCTGTGAGATTACTTACAAACAGCCTGGGAACAGATCGCATTAGTCTAAGGGCAGGCTCACACCATTTTCCGGACCAGATCTGGTCTGAAAAATGGTGTGAGCCTGCACGCAGTTCCAGTGCATTCCAGATCAAACAAAATGAGACATGCAGTATTTTTCTGGTCTGGAACGGACTGCGCTGGTGTGAACAGAGGCCAGCAATAGCGTAGGGATACATTAGGATGCATGTTGGGTCCGGAAACAATCGGGTCTGGTCTGGAGATGTGATGTGAATGGGCCCTTAAAAAGGAGAACTATGAGGCGAGTGCTTTTCACTCACCTCATAGTTCTAACCGACCTGTGACAATGAGACTGTCACAGGTCGGCTCAGTAGATCGGGAAGTGAGCGAACACATACCGGGTTTGCTCACCTCTCGATCCTGTCAGGGCTCTTTGCCGTGACAGGGGAGGGGCTGGATTCCCCCCTCCCGCCAGCGCTGACTGGCGGAACGGACGGGGGAGAGGCGGGTACAGCTGGCTCTGCCTCTAGATAGGCAGAGCCAGCTGTCACTCACGCAGCTGGGTGGATCTCGACATCGATGTCGGGAACCGCTCCAGCGTCTCAGTATACCGCGAGCTGATACTGAGCTTAGGGAGACTGGAGGACCCTAGTTTATGTCCTCCCGTTACCCTAAGGAGAACTATGGGGAAAAGCCCTGACCCCATAGTTCTCCTTTAAGGTGCCCATACACTGGTCAAATTTCGGCAAATTTTTATATACCGGCCGAGATTCGCACAGTGTGTGGGGCTGTCGGCTCCCTTTCAGCCGGTATTCCTCAATCAGCTGATCGAAGGAGCCGGCTAGAAAATTCTCCATGGATCAGAGCCGGCAGCCAATGAGCTGCCCGCTCTGGTCAGGTATTCTTACAGGGGCCGGCAGCACCTATCAGAATACAATGTAAACAGTGGGATTCCAACACGCGGTTTGTGTTGGAGGAATTGGGTAATTTTTTTCGTTCAGCCTGCGGGTTGAACGAAACAAATTGATAGGTGTATGGCCAGCTTTATGGAGAAATCTACAGTAGTGAACGTAGCACAAACACAATAGCGTCCTGATAAACATTGCATTTTGGCAGCCGTTCAGTTGAAATGGAACCTCAAAGTGCCTTGGCACACAACAAACTACACCTGCACTGTTTTGGGAAATATAGCATAGAGCAACACAGAGATAATTCACATTGTTGTGTTGTGGTGTGTTATCGCACACGTGGGTTTTTTTCATTGTAGATGATTAACACGCCCAGAGATATGAAATAACCATTCCATTAATCATCCGCTAGAAATGTAAACATATGCCCCTATGGTCAGGTCCTCCCTTTGCTCTGATCTCCTGTATGCAATCTAAGCAGCACCCCCACCCCCAATCCAGCACCAAGTGCCTGAAACATCGTAGGATGACAATGCTGAGCAATGACACAAATGCTTCTAGACAGCCACCTCTTTGCTTAAACCCTATAGAGAGTTTCTGCTTGGCTAGAAGAGCCTCCTTTCTATGGGACGTAAAGGCTTCTTGACCCTTCTATGTGATTTGTTGCCGACCAGTTCTGCAGATGTGAAATTAAACCTGTGAGGCCACATGTAGAATATGGTATGATTTACCCCATATATGAAAGCCCCAGATATGAAACTTTAGGCTCTGAGCATATAACAAAACCCAACCACTATCTATATAGATCAGAGATGGCAAGTAGGAACAGAGCACATCAAAATTTCAAGCTTTTCATGCCAGGTCTACATTGATGCACCCTCGTAGAGCAATGCACCCTCGTAGAGCAATGCACCCTCGTAGAGCTACCAATGCTAATAAACTATGAAGACCAGTATTACTTTTTTGCGAGGCCTCCACTGATCCCGTCTGCGATGTCCCCATGGTGGACTGTAAGATGGAGACCGGAGCTTCTCCCAGCAGGCCGGGTTTCTAATACCAATGAGAACAGGTGATAATGTAGGTCATTACTGGCATGAAGGAAGACATATATGAGCGTGCACAAGCATGTACTTACACTGTTGTTGGACTGTGCGCCCTTCAGCTGGAGAAGCTGCTGATGGGCCCCCTGTAGATGGGAGTAGTTCTGAAGAAGAAGGTTGCCTGCCAGACCTGGTTTCTGTGGAAGGGAACAGCACATAAAATGGTAAACTTTTATAAGAATTCACAACACTGACACGGTGTAAATGCAAAGAACATAAAGAATCCAACCATTTAATAGGCAAACAGCCAAATACAAAGATGAATAACGTATACAAGAGCTGATTTACCTGCCAAATTCCTGAGATTTATACAACCTTGCCACACAGCATGGCCAGCCTGGTGACCTGAATTATTTCTACTGCAGTTAAAGTATCTAAACCCCAAAACACAAAATTTAATATACTGCAGCTTACCAGTCCTTAGATGAGGCAGCTGCAGTGATTTTTCAGGGTTGTTCCTTTCTTTTCACCAGGTAATTGTGCAAATAACATGCTCCATGTCCCTTCATGTCTATACTCATTTCTCCACTATACATGGTTGTCACACAGGCTGTCTTTGTTCATCTCTATTACATTGTGGATGGATGGGACTATTATGCAAGATAAAGAAGGGTGTCTGTGCTTTCCTTTCAGCTCACAAAAAGTAACAAGGTCATTGCCTTTCTGGCAATGTCAACAACAGGTAATTTATGTACTTGCTGAAAATGTTCTTAGCCGGAAAAAAGGAAAACTAATGCAAATCACCACATCTAAGGACCTGTAAGCTGCAATAGATTACATACTTTCTGGCCCAGTGACAATGGTCACCAGGTGGGAATGAATCTTCCCAGCGAGGACACTGACAGCAATCATGCAGCATTTTGGTACGTTGGAGCGCCTAAAAGAGTTCCAACTGAGGGGTGGGCACACAGAAAAAAAAAACTAAAACAAGCCCATAACCACTGGTACCAGGTGTTGGGTCAAACAGCCAGAGGTGCCCAGGTCACTGTAGACAAGCAGTAAAAACAGATCAGAAATCAAAGTTCCATGTGGTTGTTGCAACCCAGCCGCGGGAACTTGCTTCCTCAACGCCGAATGGCAGGAAATAGAGCAAGGAATGTGTGCATCACTCCACTCCTCAAACCAAGCTTCAATCCCTTAGCAATCACACCTTCTGCGGTAGAATCAGTGCTTTTTGGGAAGTTTAGAGCAGTGGTTCTCAACCTGTGTAACCTCAGAACCCACATTTGTCCTCGGTCATTAAGTCGCGACACAAAGTTGCACTGAAACGCATGGCATTGAGGTACCGTGCATTCCGCTAACTTTGTTACCAGAACAGAGTCTGGAAGGCATCTAAAGCAGAACCCAGTGCCAAAGATTACTTCCACGCTGGCCCTGCAATGTCCAGTCCAGCAGGTTCCAGGTATGACACTCCAAAGCCGAGGAAAGGCAGAACCAGAAAGCTACCATGCAGCGATTCAATAAGTAATCTTGATTGAAGTAGAAGTTTAAAACTGAGAGTGTTTTTCTCTTCAGAGCTAAGGCCCCATTCACACTGCACAATTTGCATTTTGCGCGATATCGCGCAAATGCTTGCATTGAACAAGCTTGAATCGCGGCTAAACCCGCTCCAAAAAGGGTCCTGCTGTAGCGACGCACGACGAGCGACAGCAGGACCCTTTGCCTCATTGAGAAGCATTGGAGAGCGATATCGCGGGAATTACCGCACGATAAATCGCTAAGTGTGAACAGGGCCTAAAGAAAAGATGGCTATTGTCCATGGAGGGGTTATCTTATACTGGTTTACGCCATTTTGTTTGCCAATGCCCAATCCTCCAGTAGGCTGCAGTATAACCCAACACTAATTGGCTTCCTGTGTCCCTCATAGGACATGAAAGAAAAATCTGATAGTGGGTTTACCGGATCCAAACGGGGAAAAAAAAAATAACCAAAAGTTGTGCTTTTAGATATCCTGTACTTCAGGGGTTACTTTTATGAACCTATTAACAGAAAGTAGCGTTTGCTAAGGTATGGTGTTTTCAGACAAGGTGCACCTTTCATAAGGGCCAGACATTTTTCCTATCCTAAAAGGTTTTGGTTTTAGATGCACTTCAGATATTCAGGTCAGTCCCATTCAGCGAAGATAAATGAGATAATCCGCCAAGTGACAACAACTCGGACAGGATTTCATTTCGGCGGACATAATGAAACATTGTATCTTTTTATCCTCTTTTAACTTCTTATGCTTAGAACTGCTTGTACTCAACCCATGAGCAGAAAAGACACTTTGTGCCATGCATTTCTGAAACCGCGGACAGCACAAGGCAGCTGGACGTAATGCCTCTCACATGTTATTGGAACATGACACAGAAATGACAAAAAGAAATACAGATAATATCATTGCCTTTCCCTTCCCCCTATTCCCATTTTATCTTTTTCTAGATGGAGATTATTTTGTCCAATTTCAGGTTTTTTTTTCTATGTTTTAGCATGACTAGAAAGAAGAGAAAAAAAGAAGAATTTGCATATGTTGTTGCATATATTTTCTTTAGTTTGCATAATACAGAACTCCAGCCGTTCAGCTTAAAACTCGTCTCCAGGCGCACATTGTTTTCTCCACATCCTTCCCTTTTCATTGCAGATTGATTTGATTAACAAAAGTGAAAAACCCTCATAAAACCCTACATTACGTAATGTGATGGAGGGATGGGTGACAACGTTGGTAAGTTTAGCAGCCACCTTCCAGTGTTGTTGCCCTTCTCTAGGAAGTGCTGCCACAACACTGGTACTGGCAGGATGAACAGTTCTAGATCAATACAACAAAAAGTAAAGCTGTAAAGTAACTCGAGGGCTGAATGGAAAAGAACAGATTCTTCCATTGACGCTTATGAACGTTGATGGATGAATCACCTGCTGTTTCCTTTATATTCCAGAAGCAAACTGCAAATGGGAGGTGCTGGACTGGTACCTTACATTTTTCAGAGAACTGGGGTGGAATCACTGCTTAAGCCTAATGGCTTAGGTTAGGCAGCTCTTCTGTAGTAAATCGGGAGACCCCTAGGGGAGGGGCTAGGAATCAAATCAGGAAATCCAAATGTTAAAAGGTGCCCATACACCTGGTTCGAATTTTGGTCGGTTTTTAATGTACTGGCCAAAATTAGCTCAGTGTGTGCGGCTGTTGGCTCCCTTTGAGACGGAATTCCTAGATCAGCTGATCGAAGCAGCTGGCTGCAAAAATGTTGATCAATCAGAGCCAGCAGCCAATGAGCTGCCTGCTCTGATCGGGTATGTTGACAGGTGACGGTGGCACCTGTCAGAATACGATGTAAACAGCGGGATTCCTTGATCGACACGCTGTTTGTGTTGAAGGGGGAATCGGGTCTAACACACCTTCCGGCTGAATGCAAACAACCGCGCCGCGGTACCACAATACCATGTGTTTCGGTGCAATTGAAAAAAGTTGGTTTATGCAAAAGGTCCTAGCAACCAATGGCTGCATAGGAAGACCGTGACATCGCTGGTTACTAGGATGCCAGCGGTTCTAGTAACCAAGGACTGAAGAGTTAAGCAGTCTGGACACGGACCAATCGCTGACCTGTGCTGGGCTATGGCTGGCAGTGGATGCACCGGCCTTGGAGGCTGATGCATCCATTGTCAGCCAGCCATAAATGAGCGCATCTGCACACTATGATCGGTCAGTGTGCAGACCGCGGGCCGGACTGCCACAGACCAAGGGCCGTAGAATGCCCAGGTCTGGTCTAAACCCTTGGTGAGGGGGAAACTGAGAAAGTGCTTCCTCTGCTCTATGGACAAGACAAAGTAACTTTCCTAGAGTTTAATAACTTTTTTTTTTTTTAAATACCACCATTGCTGTATTTGTAACATCTTACACAGACTTGTAAAGTCACAAATAGGTTCACCTGGTAAGGCCTCACCTGATTATGTTTGTGGAGCTGTAACAGAGCTTGGCTGACAGTTGCATTAAAGTGCGGACGCCCGGAAGACCCTATAAACAGAAAGAGAACAGCTCAGCAATTCAGAAGCATCAATCTAACGTGCCCGGACCCAAAGTACCCTTGTACCGAAAGCTCACCGTGCTTTCCTGACCTTCCACGGTGCGGAGGCTGAAAAAGCATCTGTAGCATCGCTGGATTATTGAGGCTCTGCATGATTTGCATTGGGTTTGGCTCTGGAAGCAACCCTTTCCTATTGTTCTGCAGCTAAACGTAAAACATGGGATTAAGTAGGTGGTCTTAGAAGGGGGGGAAAAAAAAAACCTGGCTAACATATGTCCATCTAGTGACTTACCATGCCCTGCGCTGCCATGAGTGTGGCTAGAATGCTCCGACCTGGGGAACCTGGTGCGCAGTAAGACACCTGAATTCTGCTTCCCTTCACAGTTATTCCATCCATGGAGTCTCTCATCTCTTCCGCCTGCCTTGCAGATTCATATTCAACCAACGCAAAACCACCAGAGTAACCATCTTCATCCTCTGCCAGCTGAAATTAAAAAAATAAAACAATCACAGCTGTCCAATTATCTTTGCTAAGATACATAATTAGAAGCAACTAATTATAGTAACAGCTATAGAGGGGTCAGGGATTGTTCCTCCACCAGTTCTTTATTGCAGACTGGAATCGTAGTCAACATATATTCCCTTTTGAAAAGAGCTACTGGAATGACCAGCAATGGTTACATATTCCTAAACAGAACAGAATAGTGTGCAGAGAAATCCTGTATTCTCTGTCCTCTGGTGGATGCACCATAACGATATAGGATTTGACAGGTGAAAAGTTGTTTGGGTTGTGATGATTATTTAATTGAAACTAGGAGGTGCACCGAAATGAAAAATTTAAAACCGAAAAAGGAAAAAAAAAATAAAAAAAATGGAAATGTTTTTTTCTCTAACTTTTTCTAAAAAAATTATTTTTAATTTATAAACTTTTAAATTTTTTAATATTTTATTTTTTACTTTACTTTTATGTGCTTCGGGGGAAATATTGGGGGTCTAAAACAGACCCCTGACATTTCCCTTTTAAAATAGAAAAAGATTGAGAACACATCGAGTCCTCAGAGACACACAAGTCCTCAATCTCGTTTTCTGCAGCCCGTGTTATAAATGAACAGGAATCCTCTATACTGAGTGTTTTTGATCATTCATAACATGAGGACATTGTATAGTTACTATAACCACAATCATGAATGGACAGGAGGTGATGTAGATCACTTCCCATTCATTTATAATTGGGGATATAGTAACCATACCTCAACCATGTCCTCAATTATTTACAAACACTCAGCGATCACTGATCTCTGACTGCTTGTACCCGCTCTCCATCCTGACAGCATGAGGCTGTCACAGGAGGCTGATCGAGCGGTGTCGGGGAGGAGAGCTCAGCCTCCTGTGACAGCGCTGGCTGTCTCTGCCCACATGGCCGCTCTCTACCGATCTGCGACAGGAGGCTGAGCGGTGTGGGAGGAGAGACGCCGGTCGCTCACAGCGCTCTCCTCCCGCAGCGCTCGGCCACCTGTGACAAGTTTCTCTCCTCCCCGTTGGGACACACTCTCCTTCCAGTGGGAAGGAGAGAAAAAACAGATGCACCGCTATTTCGGCCAAAAAATGCCACTTTCAGCGTTTAGACAAAAGTGCCATTTTCGCCTGATATGTTTCGGCGGCCAATATATCGGTGCATCCCTCATTTAAATGATTATTTTAGTAAGGAGAGAAAACACCTGTTCATCTTGCCAGCTATTCCATGTCACTGTCACTTCCTTTGAGCTGAACTGAAATCATAAACAATGTTATGTTATCTTTCTTCTTTACAGATCTTCCTACTCCCATGTATCGGAGATAAACAAAGACGGACATATTTGTAGACCACCCTCTGCGGCAGGGGTGGGCAACTCTGGACCCTTAGGTGTTGTGAAACTTTAAGTCCCATGAGCCATTGCAAGACTGACAGTTACAGGCATGACTCCCAGAGGCATGTTGGTATTTGTAGTTAAAGCACAGCTGGAGGGCTGGAGTTGTCCCCCCCTGCCCTGTGGCAACCATGGCTCCCTCAATAGATACCGCATATAGGTACAGGTAGGCTGTAATATATATTACATTTTTGTTTAAGAGCTCAGATATGCTTTAAAAGGGCCATCACTTAGTTAAAGCTGAACTCTGACCTTCCCTTCGGTCTTGCACGATTGTACCGGCTCCTCTCCTGGACCGATATTACTTCCTCACTGCACACTGTGAGCCTCCCACAATGTGCTTTAGAGGCTGCAGCAAGTCAGATAGAGCCCTCCTCATTTCCTAGCTGAAGGGCGTAAGGCATCATCTCATTAACATGATGATGAGGGCAAAAAGCAAGAACCAGGGAAGGCATAATATAAATTAGCCAAAACGTCAGCTTTTCAGCTTAAAGACCACAGCGCACTAAGATCAGACAAGACATGCTGGTAAGTTAATGGGCTCCAGAGAGATAGGGACCTTAGATTGTAAGCTCCTTGAGGGCAGGGACTGATATGAAAAGCGCCCCGTAAAATTGTTGGCGCTATATAAATACCAAAAATAAATAAATGCGGCCCAGCTGCAGACTGTATTAGCACTGACACATTCTCAGCACTCATTGTAAAAAATAAAACGTGAAATAAAATGGCCTATAAAACAAAATCAGGTATGTAATAGGGCTTCCATGTAAACAGAGGCTGCAAGGAGTTTGCACAGGACAGTGGTAGTCCATGAAGGTGACTCCCATTACTGCAAACAGAGACGTGTCAAGGAGTTTTCCCTTCAGGAGAAGAGTAAGCTTGGCTTCCCAGTGCTGCAACTCTGTAGTTATTAAGAACTGCTTTATTCTGCAACATATCCGTTTGAATTTCAGGTTTTAAGACAAATAGAACTTTTTATCATTAGTAAAAGGACATAAATATGAGCTTTCATTTGTAGGTGTGGGATGATTTATAATGAACAGAGCAGGGTCTGGCAGCATGGGTAGGAGAGTTGTTTACACTTCTCTTTTCCAGGTATGCATTTGCCTGGCCGAACAGCCGGCTCCTTGCTGATTGGCTGGGAAGCCGGCTCCCCGGCCAATCCGCATCAAGACGGCTTTCGGGCCAATCAGGAAGCAGAGTCGATACTCACCGCCCGGCGCTGATTGACCTGGAAGCCGGTTTCCCGGCCAAGCACAATCAAGCCGGCCAGACAACATGGAGCCGGCTTATCGGGCAATCAGATTGCCCAGGACGCCGGCTCCATGCCAGTGGAAGCACCGGTATCGGTACTCGGTATCAACGAGTACCAAAAGCAAAGTATCGGCAGTCGATACCGAAAAAACAGTATCGGTGCATCCCTAAATACCAAGTCAAATTTAGGTACTTGCACTGCTTGCATTACATTTAAATGAAATGTTAATAAATACAGAACTACATCCATTGGTTGTAATTCAGCTTTGAATAAACCTGCACTGAGAATACCAAATAGAAAATAAAGCAAAGTTGAATAGATGCCATCACAAGATGAATTCAGCTTTCCTTTATTGGGTCACCTCTCCTCGCACTTCCTTTCCCCACCAAGGGATGCTTTGCTAGAACCTCTGACCTTTATACGAGTTGACATTTGCAAAATGTAAAAGAGCTCAGGTCTAGCAATAGTTTACTCAGACACTACGCATTAGTGGGTGGAGGTGTACGCATTATTTCCATATCCAGAAGTTTGGGTCTTGGGGGGATCAACCAACTAAACTACCAGCTGACCAACTAAAAGGGGTACTAAGGCACTTGCGAGTTCCTTTCACTAAACACTGGCTTATATTGTATTTCTAAAGCACGGGTTTGTTCTAACTGGTCAAGCGGCCACATCTGAAAAGACTAGATTAAATTGCACCAAAGCCATTGTAAACCTTCTCAAATATCAGTTTCAGTGTTGATGTACAGAGAAAGAACATAATCGGCATGCTATTCATGACAGCAGGGTATGATTCAAAATAAGAGAAGGTGAAGCAGGCGTGTCATTCTCTACCTGGCAGAACAACGGCTTGTGCAGAGAGGAAAATATCTGCGTCAGCTCATCACTATTGCTGTAGTCCTTGGGAAGCTTGTCAACACACAGGCACTTTGAGTGAATAAAATCCGCCGTCAGCTGATTGACGTCCACCCACTGGGCAAAAAGGGTAAATTCTTCCAGCTGCTTGCCCAGCAATTCCAGGCGGGCCTTTGAGGCGCAGTCTTTCTTCATGTACTCTACAAAGCCGTAGCCCTTGGAGAGGCCAGTGAGCTCGCTGTAGACGAGGAGACAGCGTTCGATGTTTCCGTACGCCCGGACCAGTTCTTCGAACTCCTGCTTGCTGAATAACGGAGGAAGGTTGGTCACGCATAACAAAGCGTCCGTCGGCTGCAGCTGGACCTGAATCTCCTTGTCCCGGAGGTGGCATTTGTGGAATTTGTTAATCGCATCTTGTGCTTGCTCTCCGTTTGACAGAGTGATGAAGGCTGGAAAGAGAGAGGAGAAACAGGTGGTCATTACAGTACAGTAATGTGCTCCAAGGTCTCCAAGAACATGTCATTAGAGGACACTGGCTCCATACACAAGCTATCCATAACCCCCATTAAACACAGAATTGCCTGCTAAACACAAAACATAATCCCATCAGACTACCTAATGAAATGCCAAAAAGAAATAAAATGTATTCCACCTTTCAAAAGAAAATCATTGGGTTTCAGATATAAAATTTAATGTAATCAGCTTAATGAATATAATTTTAACAAATGTATGTCAAAGCTAAAACAAACATATATTGCTTTTACTTACAATTACGTTTTTTTCACTTCCTGGTCCTCTTGGGCATAAGTGATGTAATGTGCCCAAGCATTACATCAGCAGAGCATTGCTGGGAAATCTCATCTGTAACCTCATGATATCTCAGGGAAAGGCATTTTCCCCCTCTGAGATGACGTACATGGTCACATGTCCTAGTCACATGTACCAGAGTTCCAGGAAGTAAAGGGAAATCTAGGATTTTTGCCCTTAGTTAAAAATGGCCACTGTAAGAATGTGGAGGAAAATAAAAAAATAGGGAATGCAAAGAATACAAAGCTGGCAATTATCTAGAAGTATCTTTTTGTAGATTGTCATTACTAAACATTTCTAAAAAGATATGTTTGTTGTTATTTCAATTATATGGGCAAAGTCCTCTTTAAATAACTGCAGGTAAAAGCACAGAAAAATAAGGTTTTAAATGCTTACTTGCAGCATTTTTCCTTTTCGTAAAGAGGAACTTTACTGATATCTTTAAAAACAACAACAACAACAACAACACACACCTTTAGAAATGTTTAGTAATGTCAATCTGCAAACACATACTTCTAGATAATTGCTGGCTTTGTATTCTTTGCTTACCTTATTTTTCATTTCTTTCCCAGTCTTCTGGCAGTGGCCATATTTACTAAGGGCAGATTACTAGATCTCCCTTTATTTCCTGGAACTCTGGCACGTGACCATGCACATCATCTCGGGAAGAAAATGCCTTTCCCAGACATCTCGCGAGAATACAGATGAGATTTCCCAGCAATGCTTTGCTGATGTAACCTTCCCAGGATGCAATGCTTGGGCACATTATATCATTTGTGCCAGAAGTGGACCAACTCTATTTGTAATTAAATTACAAATATGTTTAATGAATGTAAGAAGTTTGAATCAGCACGCAGAGCTGCATGCTGATGTGATTTTAAGTAAAAAAAAAAAAAGGGGGTTAGGCCTCATTCACACTAAGAGAGGACAGGTGCTGCGTGTGACTGTACGCAGCAGCCTGTTCTTCTCTTTGGGACTACGCGGCCGTACGTTCACCCAAACTGCACATCCCTGCGGGTGCCTGTACTCGTGCGCACGATGGATCCTGTCTGCGTCCGAGGACGGACACCCGCACCCGTGTGCAGTTCGGGTGAGCGTACGGTTGCCTCCTCCAATATAGAAGAATAGGCTGCTGCGTACAGTCACACGCAGCACCTGTCCTTCCCGGGAGCGACCCGATACGGCCGTGCACGCCGCACGGATCTGTACAGGCCGGCTCTTAGTGTGAATGAGGCCTAAAGGTCCGCTTTAAATTATTTTTCATTTACTTGCAATGTGCCTTGTGCTAGAAAATGTGACTACTCCAGGAGAGTGAATTCCCCAGCACATCCCCCTGTGATGCAGCACCGGTCCTCTTCTAGGTTGGAGGACAACCAGCATAACAGTGTAAAAGGCATTCTTACAGATAGCATCATAGTTTCCCTTTCAAGAGTGCAGGTGAGTACATGTAAATCCTTCTATTGTCCCCTGTGCTGAAGTGTGTACCCAGAACCATGCGTTTATACCAGCACAGACACAGCTAAAGATAGAGACGTTCACTGCATACAGCTGTTCTGAGACTGTTAAAGGGAACCTGTAAAAGTTAAATGATGCATTTGGGTTTGTTATTTCCCTGATGGCGGTGACCTCAAGATGCCTGCACATACCTTTCTTATGTTACATAAATGCCTCAGGGGGCCTCAAGCCCAGGTCCACCATATGTAAATCTAGATATCTAGCTGAAGTCAACAGATGCGACAAGCCCCTTGGTGAACCTCAATGTCTATGTGACCTACACAGAGATGCTGGGGAAGTATCACAGTTCTCGGCTTTAGCAGCATGCAGAAATCCACAGCATATGCCTGGGATTGGGGACCAAAAAAGTGTAAGCAGAAGCACTTTCACAGTCATAGAGGGGTACGATTTATGGACATAATATAAGGCACACCTACAAATAATTGTGTTCAGGTGTTTAAAGGGAACAGTTAATGGTACATCATACAAAGTGAATATCTATTTTGCACTTCCAAAATTGTGGCAAGAGTTTGAGGAAGGTCCTTCTTTGATCCAGAATGACTGTGCACAAAGCCAGCTCCACAAAGACGAGGTTTGACTAGTCTGGTGTGGGGGAACTGGAGTGTCCTGCACAGAACTCTGATCTCAACCCTTCTGAACACCTTTGAACACCCCAATGAAGGAGGGAGCTCGGGACATCGGGACGAATTGCAATCTATCAGCGTTAGCTTTGCTAACAACCTAACAGGCACCCCTGGTCTAAAGCAAAAGAACATTCCACCAATAGAGAAAATAGCTTATAACTATAATCTAAGAACAATGGACCAGAAGAGTATATATAGCCAAACAATAAGCCAGTGCAGAGGTCTCCATCATTGTTGTCTCTTCGGGTCGAATGTTCTTAGCCTATTGTTTTAGGCCATTTTCTATATTGGTCAAATGTTCTTTTATTGTTTCAGGCCATTTACTCTTTTGGTTGAATGTTCTTTTATTGTTTCAGGCCATTTACTCTTTTGGTTGAATGTTCTCTTATTGTTTCAGGCTATTTACTCTTTTGGTTGAATGTTCTCAGCCCTTTCTTCAGGCTAATTTCCTCTTAGGAAAGACAACTAACCTATCAGAAAATAACATTTTGCACACATTCAAAACATTACGGGAATTGTGACTTTTGCACGGATGGCGATCCATCCACACATTGATTTTTTTTTATATAAACAGACCCCAAAGTGTCCCCCATAACAACCAATCCAAGCTTTGTCTACATCCTGAAACCAGTATTACAGAACTGACACGTGGAGTCTGATGGATAACAGACAACGCAGACTGTACATACATTAGGTGTACATAGCTCTCCTGAGAACACATCTGTATTACATTCCATTTCCCTTCAACCGTGGCAACATTACAGCGCCGATGTACAGAACTTCCCACCCCCTCGCTCATGTTAATGTCTCACTGCGTCTCCGAAAATAATCAGCAGACAGCTCGGAGGTTTAAATTACACACACGGCCTACAAGAGGTTTTAATTTTTAGTAAGATATTCAAGGTCCATGCCATTGTAAAATGGGTGCTGCCGCTGCAATTTATTTTTCTGGCAACGCTGACAATGCAATTTAGGTTAAAAAAACGCCTTACCAATTAGCAATAAGTTTAAACAGGGGCAACACCTCACTATCTCCAGTACAGAAGCCAGTAAGGATCCGCAATAAAGTTTGCAAAAATCCTTCCAAAGTACATATTTGACCTTGAAGGAATTTTTTTTCCTTAAAAAAGGAGAATTATGAGGAGAGAGATTTTCACTCAGCCTCATAATCTGAGCCGACCTGTGACAATGAGACTGTCACAGAACGGCTCAATAGATCAGGAAGTGAGCGAACACATACCGTCGCTCGCTCACTTCTCGATCTATCCGTTCAGGAGAGCCGTGACTGTCACTCACGGTTCACTGCAGGGATTCCCCCCCTCCCCTGTCCGATCCTCCTGCGCCGACTGGCGAAACCAACTAGGGAAGGGGCGGGCACAGCTGGCTCTGCCTCTAGATAGGCAGAGCCAGCTGTCACTCACGCAGCTGGGCGGATCCAGACAGTATTGTCGGGATCCGTCCCGGCGTCTCAGTATACCGTGAGCTGTAGCTCGTGTTATACTGAGCTTTGGGTCAGTGGAGAACGCTAGTTTGTGTCCTCCCGTGACCCTTACGAGAGCTATGGGGAAAAGCCCTGACCCCATAGTTCTCATTTAATAGGAGTTTTAGTTTAGTTTATAGCTCGGTGGACTATGGAGGCTGATGATGATATAATCAAGTTCATATTAATTTAATTCAGCAGCAGCAAGCTTAATTCCGATCCTTTTATTTTGCATCTGCATAGACACAATATGGCATCCGGGACGTAATAAATATTTAATTTCCCAAAGGCAGCGGCCTGGAAAGATCCACATTATTTGTCGGAATCGGGGTCCTGCAGGAGATCAATAAGTGCTGGGTCAGGCAGAAAGAGGAGTAATGTTACACGGTGTACTGGAAGCGATCTTTACCTCAAATTTAATATGCCTGCATTTCCCTCCACCGAAGGGTAATCACTGAGGAGCCTGCTGCCGGGATAATAATATTCCACAGGCAATTTGTCCGCAGGGAACATGGTACTGCTGCTAGATAATAAAGGCACAGGAAGCTTAAAGGAAATCCATGAGGGTTTTGTGGTTTTAGATACAAAGGTGAGAGTGATCGGCGTAATGTAACAGAAATCTCATCATTGTATGTTAATGTTGTAAAGGCTTTCTATGTATAGATTGTAATTAGATTTGTACACAGAGGCAGCCATATACACTTATTACCTCTGCATGCTGTGTTCCTTGAAGCAGTTACTTCGGTACTTTAGGGGCCCTTCAGACCTATTTGTTGAGGTTGAGCTGGGTACAATGCATGTTACTGAAATGCAAGGTGACACAAGGCACTTTGTGCGGTGCGTTGTACTAACATTTAGAATGAATAGGAGGAGAAGTAGTCACCAGTCACGACTTCTCCTATTACTGATTACATGGAGCACAGTCACTGCTGCACCCCACCACCTCTCCCGGCCCCCGATGTACATATCTGTGCGATGCTCCTGCCAGCCATTGTACAGTCCCATACATTGTACTCCACACCCC